AAGGAAAGGAAAGGAAAGGAAAGGAAAGGAAAGAAAAGAAAAGAAAAGAAAAGAAAAGAAAAGAAAAGAAAAGAAAAGAAAAGAAAAGAAAAGAAAAGAAAAGAAAAGAAAAGAAAAGAGGAAGAAGGAAAGAAACAAAGAAAGAAAGAAAGGAAGGAAGACAGAAGAAAGGAAGGAAGGAAAGAGAATGAAAGAAAAAGGAAAAAGCCCTGACACTATCTTATTTCACACGGCATAACCTCCTTTTCCTCTGTAACTAGGCCATCTGAAAAGACCAAAAGCACTTTTTCTCCAAAACCCCGTTATAAATGCTGATTAACATTGTTTTTGAAAGAAGGATGATATGGACAGAGGATAATGGTGAGAATAGAAGAGGGAGAGTAGTTTCTTTTATTAGCACATATCAAGATGAGCTATGGGGAGAAACCAAAAGGAAAAAAAAGATCATTTACTTTCTTTACAAAGACTGTTGGTAAAATTCCTAAGGGAGACTAAGTGCCAAAATTGTCTGTCTTGGTGTATTACTTTTAGACACTACTGCCTGGGTGAATTAAGTCAAATCTTCAAGCAGCAGCCAAAGATAGCTGCAAGCTGAAAAAGAGGCTCTAGATTTCCTTGTTTTGTGAAGAAACTCGTGAATTTGTGGAGATTGTCTTTGCTCCAGGGTTTTTTTCATTTCTCTCTCTCTTTTTCACCTTCTGGGCTATTTTTACTATTTTATGTTTGGCATTATAAATGGTTTTTGTAATGGGAAGGCAAGGTAAGAAGCAATTGTTCAGAAAAACAGAAAAGTAAAAAAATGAGATTACATCCATGTATTCCATATCTATTTCTATGTATACATACATGTGAGAGTATACATATGTATGCAAGTAATATCAGGTATTTTTCATTACTCTGTTCTCCAAAAGACATTATTTAGTAAAAGATAATAAACAGCTCTTGAACAGTGGAATATAGAATAGTGAAAACAGTTTACTGAAATTGATGATGCTGGATTGAACCAAACCTTCCCTTTGGAATTAGTGCCAGACATAGTTTTCCTGAACCCTGTCCAACTGCCTGAGCGACAGACAATTTTCATTCTATTTGTGCTAAAGGCTTATGACTAGTGCTGGAAAATGAAGCCCTTGCCCTTGATCTCAGTGCAGATTAAAAAAAAAAAAAAAAGGCAGAACTGTGCCAATTTGTTTCCTCTGCCAACAGAAGCCCTTGTGCTTTGGGTAATGCAAAACAATAAAAAGTTCACATGAAGACTCTCCATTGAAAGAAAACCCACCAAGAGCCATGTATCTTTGCTACATTCATCAGCCAGTTTCTGAGATTCTCACAATGTCAGCAAAATGCAGAGGCTAAGGACAGAAAATATTTACCAGCCAGCAATACTGTCTTAGTTTTCTAGTCCACGTCTCACTGCTATGCATTTGGTAATGATTGCTAAAAAATATCTCCACTGTAAATAACCACACTCTCCCTTCTGCTAACACTAATCTCCCCACACTCAGGTACTGCATGTAGATTTAGGGCTGTGCAGCCCCTGTTGTCCAAGCTGATTCTATTTCTAAGGGATGAAATACACATTTGACATATACACCCTGAGTTATAAACAGTGGCTATACTGTAGTCCTGTCAGCCAGCTAATCTCCGATTGCTTTTCCCTAGATTATTAATAAAATTAGAATCCCAAGCAGAAGGCGTTTGCTTTCATTGTACAGTCTGCACTTGTGACATGGTACATGTGGAAAATTTTGAGTGCACTGCAGTGAATGGTCTGGGGGTTAGTTTTTAGCTTCCGCTAAGTACCTGGCAGGCTGCCACGGCTGAAGGATTCTGGGAACTGAAAGGCTCCCAAGTACAAACTGCCAGCATTAAGCAGTCCTGACAGCTCTGCTCCTTCCACACTTGGCAGCAGTTCAAAGTGCTCTTTCATTTGAAAGGCTGGAAGGCTGCCATGTGCAATGCAGATTTGCTGTGCCTGCTCTCATAAGGAACTGATAAATGCCGTTGCTGTTGCCATGGGGACAGGAGGCTATCAGAATGGCCTTGTGATCTGCAGCCTCTCAGCTCTGCAGGGTTTTTTTTTTTCCGTTTTTTTTTCCTTCCCTGAGATGGTGAAATAAATGTTCTAGAGAAGGTTAACTCTTGAAGGACAGGAAGCGCTGGTTTGAAAGGACAGGGTGAGCATCTGTCGGTGGCTCCTCCGAAGTGCTGGGAACAAGATTAACACATACCTGCCAACAGTGCCTATTTGGGAAGGACTGGCCCCAGGGTTGGGTTTTTTTGAAGGCCAGGAGGGAGGGAGGGAGGATGAAAGACCTCCTTCTCCCCACTCAGTCCCTTCAGATTTCTCTTCCAGCTCAGGATCTCCCAACACAATTAAAAAGCTATCCCCTTTCTTCCCTTCACTGTGCCCACATACAGTTTTCAGATGCTGGTGGAAATGAATTAATTTACCACGGGATCTTGTAACATGCCCAAAGCCTTTAGCTATCATTAACATCACTGGACAGCTAGCAGGATTAGACCCGTTTTGTGGACTCTGTGTGTGGTAAATGTGAGTAAAAAGAAAGAACAGTGTGATGTAAGACTGCATGTTTAAGAGCGATCTTAGTGACGATGCAAGTCCTGAGAGTGAATCTCAGCTTGTCCTAGTTCCCAAGATTAAAGTAAACACACCCTTGAGCTATGCACAGTTTGTGTGTGTGTATAAATGAGTGTGCACATCTACTTCTGTAGAGGTGTAGAAAAAAATACAGGCAGCCAATATTTTAGCCAGAATTTATACAATTTTCCCTAAGTCGTCTTTTTTTTACTTGCTATTTCTTTCCATCTCCGCTACAGCAATAAATTTGCATTCCCTAAAGACATTTTGCTGCAGTCCAGTAAACTGAATTCTGTTTAACCAAGGCAAAGTCAGAGCATGACATCATAGTGGGGAACAATGGAGTGCATCACTGCTCTCTCCCTCACCATGCAGCAAACTTCAGGGCAGCATTTAAAGAGATCGATATGGGCATGTGTCTATGTTTACAGGCACATATAAAATACAACAAGCATTCAGACAGTGACATAAAACAGGAAAGATAAAGTATTGGGGGAATTTTATTTATATACTTGAGTGTTAGCAGTCTGAGAGCTTTGTTCAAAACCAGGAAAAAAATCAGCCACCCTCCACATGAACAAATTCCCCCTTCCTTCTCTAAACCTGAGTCTCTGCCTTTCAGAATTGTATACTTGTATCTTTCCAGTATATGTGAATGGCATTATATGAAATGAATCATTAAAACTGAATAAACAGAATTTCAAACCAAATTCAACAAATAATCTGGTTAACCACTTGATGGTTAACCTGTAGCTTTTTTAAATAAACAGCACCACTGTTACTTATTTTAGTTTCACTTCACTTTGATTTCACGTATTTTTTATTGTATTCGTTGTTTTAAAGCTTTTTGGTTGTGAATGGGTTACTCAAAAGTTTGAATGAAGAAAGTAGTCATTTGAAAAACATACAAGGCAGAATGTTTAAGAAGTAACATGGAAATACACACTATATGTGTCTATACACACACACACACATACCTTTTACCTTTTCTGAATTCTCTTTTAGTTTATGTTTTCAAACAACTTAAAGCATCTGTGATACTGAGTTTTGTTTCTGACATCCAATCCTGCTGGTTAAAACAATCTGCATATGCAAATCGAGATAAAAGCTCTCTATATATTTGCAAAGTAATTTCAAAATTACAAACAAGGCTGCATTTCACAAGCCTTTGCACCATAATGAGCTAGGCCAAGGAAATATTTTTTCCTGACTGCTTGGGATTATTACTATTTTTTTAAATTAGGAAAAGAGTGAAGTTAACTGTAATTCTACTGTAATTTCTTTACCTGATTCTCTCTGGGTTCTTGCCTATGGTTGTCATGGTAATTTTATATTTCTGGCTGGCTCTTTACACATTCTGTTTGTCTCACTGGATTTCCTGATTATTCAGAAAACTCTTTTAAAAACCCTCCCATTTCTCCCCTCTGCCCCCATTCTGGGCTTAGTCCTGCTTTTTTCATTCCTTTAGCATAGAGGAATGTGTGTTATTTTGCTACAAATCTACTAAGGTGAAACTGTTTGCTCCACTTACCTGAAAATGGAGATAATGAGATAAGCATACATACTAGAGCTCTTCGTATATTATCTTCCATAGTCTATGACAGGGGATAGAGAGGAAATGTGGAAAGATAACTGCATGTAGATTTCTTGTAAAGTACTTGGATTTTAATCCTATAGATATTATTTAGGGTTTAACTGCTGCATTTCTGACAGCAGAAACATGTATTTAACTGTTGCCTTTCAAATGTGACAGACACATTTGTACCTAGAGCGAGAGAGTTAGAATATATTCTCTTTATGTGACAGAATAGAAACATTATTTTTATTCAGGGGTTCAGGTGACAACTTATGCCAGAAGAAACAAACTGATCATGCTTTCAATGAACCAGTGAAACTCAAAGAAAAATGCACACAGCTAAGTAATATTTAGCTCTAGTGTGTAGTTACAAAAGGTTTATGTAATTGATATGTGCATATTTTAAAAGCACTCAGTGTTAGATTATATATACAAAAATATATACATACATATTATAGATGTATACATAATATATATGTATGAAGGTACATATACTTGCTTTTTTGAGGGCAGTGGTTCTTCCCTAGGCACTACATGATTTTGTGATAAAAGCATGGAGCTATCACATGTACCTATAGTACATTTAAATAATTTGCTTGAGTATTACACCTCATTACCTTTGCCTAGTCCTTGTACATTTAGCCTCTTTGCTCTTCAAGAACAGGTATGTATTTTACTGCTCTGGTCAATGCCTCACACAACTACACTCTGAAATCATTAGGGTCTCAAACAATTGTTTCAAGGCAAGTAATTCACCACCATTATGAGTCGTAACTGAAACTACGGTCCAATTTATTACAATTTAGACCCAGTGATTTCCACTATACACTGCCTTTCCAATGTATCAATGAAATCTCTAATCCCCCTGGATTAAAAGTATCTGTATCAACTAAAGGCACCTGTATCAATGAAATCTACAAATTCTTCTGTGTGGCCTCTTTTGCTTACTTCTTCTTTCTCTTTCTCCTACTGGAAAGCACATTTGAGATTCCTTACTAAGTCCTTTTGATGGCAACATGCTGTGGAATCTGCTAAACGCAGTAAGCATTCCAGCTGTGACAGTCTATAATCTAGGACATCAGTGACATCATCTGACAGCCTGTGACATTGCCCTGTGAATCGCAAGATTAGGCAAGGTTGCTGTTGGTGTCACAGGTAGTATATGACATGTGACTGCAATGTTCACGCTTGATTTTAACTGTGAAAATGCTACTAAAATAACCTCTTGTACCTATAAATTTAGTTGGATCTTTTTTCAACTGTACAAATCTTATTTTCTTCTGACTGTGATTTTCAAATTTGCATTTTCAGTAAAATAAAAATGACATATTTTATCCAATTTTCTCTTATGTGCCAAAACCCCACATATCTCCCACTGCTACTCAGCAGAAGAAAAGATTTCAGTAAATACTGTGTAGGACATCTAACGTTAAAATATTCTTAAATTTACTTTAAACTCCTATTTATTTGTGTATTTCTACAATGTAGACACTGCAGAAGCTCAACAGACCATATTATACTTAGCAGAAAAATTATGGCCTCTCTCTTCCGAAAAGAAGACTGAGCAAGGCAATGGTCTATTTTACATTCTGCTAACACCTAATTATTTTTACAAAACATATCCAGTAGCATTTATTGTTTGAGCAATCATAAATATTTACAAAGAAATTATAGTCTTTAAAGAAACCTACATGCTGATTTTTTTTTCTTTTCTTAGAATGTTGTTTACATACCTGCTAATTCTTAAAATTCAGTAATCTGTAGTGATCTTACTTTTATTTGTGAAAATTAGCAAAGTCTTGCTGCACAAATTATCAAGGCTTTGTAATGCAACTTTAATAGCTCAGCTATTTCTTTTTAAAAGTCAGTGTGCTCTAGTCCATTTTTTTATTACTGTTATCTTTAGTTCTATGAAGCCTTGGAGCATTTCCCAGTCGGGATCTATAGAAACTTTCCCAGGAAAATGTATAAAGACCCTGTGTTCTGCTTTACTCTGTACTTGCAGTGCCTATGTGCTTTTAGTGAGCTAGGTCTTTGAAGACCTAGCCCATGCTTGGAGTCCAGTCAGGCCAAAATATTTAGCAATTGAGATATTTTACGATCCAGAATCTCTTTTAAACAAAGGTGTGGTTTAGCAGGACTGGCTGCTTCTGACCTCTTTCAGCCTCGTATTATTGCAGCTGCTATGATGTAAGGCTGAGTATGGTAGAGCTAAAGTAGCTGAGGCTCAGGGAAAGATGCTGAGAACAGCTGTTTTACTGTAAACATTAACAAGGGTTTGACTTCATTTGCAAGCTGGGAGCATTCACAGTTTCTGCACAAATAATATTTCAGGAATTTGTTCTAGATGTTCAGGGCACAAGGAAAAAAATTATCCCTTCTATACATTACTGCAGCTTTGAATGAATCAAATGCTCTGCAGAGAGATGCATCCCATTAAAATCAACAGGGAATTTTTCACATTAATACACAGCTTCACACAGACGATACAGACATACACACAGGAAAAGAAGCAATACTTATCTGCTTTAGCTATTTCTAAAGCTTCTCTCACATTGGTATCTAAGTGCCAATTAGATACCAAAAATACTCAGTTGTAGCAGACACTGATGTCTGCTGATTATTATGGAGCTACAAACAGATTCCTATCCAAGAGGGCAGAGAGGGATTTGAATGCTTTCCCCTTAGCTCAGTGCTGCAATTCATGGATGTTAGGAAACAAATTTCAGACCTCATTTCCTTCATTACATTCTCGAGGTTGCTTATTCTGAAGCAAGTGAAAAATTTCAGTCAGAGTGACCTTTGGAGGGAGCGGGGGACATTCACTGACATCACACACATCTGCACATGCACACACAGATGTACGGGCCAGATCCTTCAGACACTGAAATCTATTTTTTTGCCACATTATCAGCGCAATGGAGTCTGCAAGGCAGCTCAGCCAGCTACTTGTGCATCAGCCAGTGCAGATACGACAAAGCCTCAGCTGGTCTGCAGCCACTGCAAGGACTGCAATGGCTCTTCCTTTCCTGAGTCCTTGTGAAAGACATACAGTTTAAAAATGGCTGAGCCGAGCCTAGTTTTCATGGATCTCTAGTTACCAGACTAGTTTCTTGGGTCCAGTGGTAGCCAGTGCAAAATTCAGTAGCTCTGCTGGTGTTACAGTTTACACAAGGGAACACACTGTCAGGGAGACCAGCCCCAGGATGATGCAAGGATGGCTTAAAGCTGCCTTTTCACCACCCTCTCTGAAGCCTGCCAAGACCTGCTTGGCCAAAGCTTGGAGCCTGGGCAACAGTCCCTACTTACAGACTCCTTCTAGAAACTCCCCATATTAAATATAAAGCTGTATATATCCTCACTATCTTCCCCATTTGTTATTATTATGGTTTACATGATAAGTAGCATAAACTGGTCAGCCCTTTGATAAAAAACTAAGGCAAACTTGGAATCCAGAAAGGCTTGTTAAAATTCATCACTTTCAGTGAAAATCTTGAAGGTGTGCCTGTGCTGTTGGATGTGGACCCAATTGGATATCTGACCTTTTTAATGTTCCCAGGACATTTGCCACAAATCTAGAAGTACCAAATTTATTATATCTCTAAAATGCAAAACTAGTTATTTATATTCTGTTCTTAAACTGTTTGTGTTTATGCAGAATAAGGAGAGGTTTTTGGTCTCTGTCCTGTTTTATGGTGTTAATCTATTGTGCAGTGAAACAGCTATTGTCTCCTCCTCCAGAGTGGCTGTGTTTCTTCAGGTCATGATTTGGCTTTTGTTTTGAGATGAAATAATATAAAACTCTGTCTACCTGGTACAGCTTCTCTTGCATCCCTGTATATAGTGAAAAATAAAAATATTCTTAGTGCCATTTATTCCTGACCTCAGGCATCTTCAAATCTCCAATTAAAATTTCACCATCCATGTGTGATAATGGAGGCTTTGAAATGCACCTGGAAACATATCTCTCCTTCTTTCCATTCTTTCCTCTGACAGGATTTCAGACCTCTGGAACTACATCTGTTGTGAGTTACCTTTCCCTATCATACTTTTTATTGTACAAATGTTCAAAAAACTACCTAGTGGTTTGCCTAGATCTTGTAACCAAAACAAGGCCCCATCCTCTCCTCTTTCACTGCTCGTGCCTATAATTTCTTCTCAAGCTGAATGCTGAATGGGGCTAAAGCCAGCGTACTATTATGTTTGGAACCAGGTTCAATCCAGGAAAATTATACAAATGAACCTGGGAAATAAGCTGCAGCTTGAAAAAGTAATAAAGCATGTTACAGTGCTCATATGTAACTGGAGATGGAGGAGTCGCTTCCAGAACAGGGACTGGAAAGGACATACTGGCACCTGTGTAATTTCTGAACTACTGAAGAAAAATTCTTTCCTCTCTGTCTTGGCAAGCCCAGAGATCAGATGAGATGCTGCAGCCTGGCCAAAAGAGAGACTGCTCTGGCACTACAGAAAACTCTTCTATAGCCAATCCTTCCTGTGCTAGTAGCTCTTCTCACCACCTCAAAAATGCTCCCTGAAACACCAGCCCAGGGTCAGTTTCTACAATTTGATGAAACGTCTGTCACCACCATTAAAACAATTCAAGCAAAAGAGCGTGATGAGACACCCCACAGCACTGGGCCAGCAAAGAGTAACCCTGCTCTAGGCTGGCAGCACACATTCAGGTCGCTGTATCAGGGCATGGTGATTCTGAAGGGCACTGAATGCTCTTTCCCAAAGTTCCCTGAGAAAACTAGATCCCAATGTTTGGGAGTTGTCTTGAAATTCCCCATTAAACATCCCTGTAAATTGAAACACTTGGTCTGTGGTCCGTTCCCATTTACTAATCCCACCTAGAAGGCTTCTTGTCTACACACAGCTGTCCACCAGGAAGCAGGTGAAACCAACAAACTTGATAACTCACAGCACTAGCCCACACTGGTTTTCCTCTGTTAAAAACAGGACTGTCAAAGTATTTAGAGATCTGAAAGAGGCTGACCTCTAAGCATACAATCCAATATTACTGTTTCACAATCCAAATTATAAATAGTTTTTTACAAATTTCACCCATTCCTCGATTTGTCAGAAATATAACCTCATTTCTTAAATAAGACACTATATTTGAAAATCATTCCGTCCCTTCTGGCCCTCACTGCTGTCCTGCAACTCATGTGTCATCACCACAGCCCACTTACCAATGTCCTTCACACCAGTGAGACATCTCTGGTCATGAAGAACTGCACTCCTTCCTACTGCTCCCTGTCAGAATGCTGAACCAGTCAGGTTTAAGGAAATCACTGCAAAACTGTAGAAGTTTAAGTCAGAAACTGAACTCCCAAAAAGCCAATCGTATTGAAAATGTTCTGGTTTTTTTTAAAAAAAAAAAGAAGGGGGGAAGATTCCTGTGATTTTCCTCAAACATTTTCCAAAGTCAGTTTTTCTCCAAATATAATCCAAAACTTCATCTGGAAGGTGTGTGTTTATTCCAATCCAGGCAGACTTTTGGAGAAATGCATAAAACTGTATCACAAATGTTTTTGATTAGAAGAACAACTCCAATCTAGCTTGTTATCTGAAAATAGGCGTAGTCAAGCTTCTGTAATGGGAAAATGGCTGCATTCTGCAGCAGGTCAAAACAAAAAATGTACCCAAGTTAAAGTCTGACTTGATTTTTGAAACTTTTAATTTTAAAGCTATTTGGAATAGCCAAAAGAATAATGGAACACTTGTAAGAAGGAATAATAAAAAAAAAAAAATCAGTGCCAAATACACTGGGAAGGGAAATATAATGGAAGAAGTGTATCTCTGAAATAGACTTTTGAGGTGACAGCCTGAAGATCAGGTCCAATATGGGAATTAGTTACCCAGCACTTCAACCCTGAGTGCTGAAGTGAAAGGTACTGGTTCCTAAAGGGGAGTTCAGAACCTCTTGTTCTGTGTTCAGATTTCCTATACAGAGCATGGGAAAAATTAAGCACCTCTGAGTATGGTATCCAAAACATCTGTTTCTGCATTTTATCCAGTGA